CTAACCAGTACTATTAGAGAAATCAGCTGTCAAGTCAGATAAACTTAAGTTTCTGGGAATCTGTCCCAAGAATCCAAATGAACTCACCTCGGGGTCCAAGATAGTCTCATTCATCGGCTGTGAAACCGAATCTACACTACTGAAAGGAGATACAGATGCATCCACTATATTTTTACGAGTTTCTTGAATATTTCTTTCAGCACCAAACATGAACAAGGAATCACCTGCATGCTCACCTTCTGATTTAATAATCTCACCATTCATTGCTTGTGTCCACTCTGCATCTGAGCTCTGAGCCAATAGCATGTTTTCTGATATATCAATCTTTCCAGTATAAGCTGCTCTATTGGCCACAACTTGTACCTGTGGTTGTAGGGTTGTTCCACTTGCAACATTAGTGTAAGCATCAGGTACTGTAAAAATAGCTTGGTACATGTTATCTTGCCTCAGAGAAGGCCCAAGTTCCGGGGCATGATATTCTGAGTTATTGTGCACTGCCAAAATGTAATATCGACAATTTTCTTTCAAGTCAAACTAGTTATATAATTGCTGATAAAATCATAACAAATAAATTATCACTATCCGATTTATCAGCAATAAAACATATTTTCATTCTCCCCTGGTCAAGAATTTGAGCATGTATAATATTTTTTGGGCAACATTCTAGGTTCATATGAAATGGAATGTTAAAACTATTTATGTTTTTTCCACTCTCATTAAGTAAAAAGGAATGTCATAACATTGCAGTCAAGCAGCAGTCTATCCACCAAATATGTTTATTATATATGTGTCTTTTCACATATATACGCATACATGAAAAACCATAGTTCCCCTTTATGTAGGGAAAGCTTTAGATGTGTCAAAAAGCTTACTTGGATGAATCTGAGATTCGTTGGAAAAAGGAACGGGAGAAACTTCAGTCGGACATATTTGGTGGATTAGCTCAACATGTCTCTCAAGCAAGTCATTGAATCGCAAAATATGGTCCTTCAACAACAACCTCAGATTATATGCCTGGAAAAATTCCTGATTTTCTGCTTTGAGTTTTTGCCACACTGGAAAAACGTCCAGATATTCTATTCATCAGTTTCAAAACATAACATAATTAAAAGGGGAAGGAACAACAAATAAGGTTGATTTCCATAGGGTCATATGTTCGATATAGTATATGTGATGGAATTTTCCTTTTTAACAATTGTTTGTTCCATTTTTAATATTTATTGGATAACGTTGGAGAAGCACTTCGAAATCTCTGTGTTTGGTACGCAATATTGGGTATTGAATGTGTTTGAATGATATACCGGATAAAAGTTTAGTGCTATTTATTTCAACGTACCAAACATGCCACTAGGGTTTCAGTTTAACTTGAAATAAGACGGAAAAGGACTTATATAATACGAGCGGCTAATGGTGAAAATCACAACCTCCAAAGAATACAAGAAAGCCTAATCAAGAAATTGACATTACCTAGTTCAGTGAAACCGGGCTCAATTTTTGCATGATCTAAGAGAGTACTCACAACTTCCTTCTGGCTCATGTAAAGCTGAAGACACCTTTCTATAAGATCTTGAACCTGATATTAGAGAAGATGTAAGGTTGGCAATCCTGACAGCAAATATTTACAAACATGGACGATATAAAACATAGTTATAGCTGCTTATTTCACGGGACAGCTTTTCAATAATGTCACTAGAAAATGCCAAGACCTATTGAGAAACCATCCTTGGCTGCAACATCAGTGTTGAGGGTTAAATTCACAAATCATTAGGCATTTCTTCTAAATAGCAGCACCATCAATTAAGTAAAATTTAAGGTTTCAAAAAAAATAATAAATAAATAAATAATTAAGATACTCTATTTGAATCAAAATGTGACCATATTCGATGCAAGCTATTACTTAGTAACCATTATTTTAATTACCCATCAACTATATAATCAACTTTTCGGTAAACAAAATAAAAAAATAAAACTATTCATCCATCTACTGCCTTAATTTTAAACCATCCACGCACAAAAATAAACTGCTTAAAGAGACGATGTGTTACTTAATGGACGATGACTTTGACATTCTCAAAAGGACTAACATAATCGCTTTACCAATCATTTTAGTTTTCCTAATAAATCGCTCATTCAAATTATTACAAATGTACGCAGGAAACAAGTAATTAAAAAATAGGTCATCTTACATTATTTTTACTGGAACCCCAAGTTTGGATAAGAAATAATAACAGATTTCGTAGCACAGCAATTTATTATTTATGCTTTATGAATAATTATCAGAACAAAGTCCTTATGGTAACATGATCCAAGTTAGATACTTCATACAGATTAAAAGAGATTATGGATTGAACTTCAGTGTTAATTCATGTGATTTGTCATAGGACAGTTTCTATCTCAAGTATTACCAAGAATTTTCATGATTTCTACACTGTCTTGAAGTAGGATCATTTACTCGAGTCTTTTGAGTGATCAGAGCAATGGTGTTAAGGTTGTCTGTAAAAATATCAAGAAAGACAACCATTGTAAACCTTAGGAAGGAATTCTCCCTATATGGACCCACAAAAACCTTTAGCACCATTTATTTGAAGAGTTCTAGTCTTTCTTATCTTTTGCTAAATGTAATATCGAACTCCAGATTTACTATTTATGTTTATGTTCAAAAAAAATCTGCAAAATGCATTGTATATCTTCCCGAATAACAGTCATGTTTACTAAAATCAAAATCAGACCACATTTTTTAATAAATTGTACACCTGAAGCCACAACTTACCTGCTGTATATCTTGAACTGAGACTTTTCGAAGTTCTCCGGTAGACATTTCACGTTTTCCAAGAAGATGAAATATACTTAAGGGGGTTAGTGTTCGTACCACAACACCTAGACAAAGAATAGTTTGTTCAAACTTTTTCTTATCAATCAGAATATGCAATCAATACCACCTGAAATAATTGCATATATTCGATTATTGTCAGCAAAATTAACATATAAAGAATACAAATAAAGATGGAGGAAAGAGAAAGAGCAGAAGGGAAATAAGCACAAAAATAAAATCGGTCCCCTTCAAGTTTTACAAAAATAACTACATTTTTAGATGTATTTCGATGTTGATTTTAGTTTCTTTCTGATTTTTAGTATCCTATGTTCCACTCCATAAAAACACAAAAAATGACCTCCAAACTTCCCTCTCCCTTTTTCTTCTTCCACTGGCACAGAAGTTCTAGATATCCCAATCTGAACAAACCACCAGCAAGATCACGTTTGTCTAAGCTCAAAAAGTTCACTTACAAGTAAAGATTGAGCTTAGATTAGTACTTTTTTATTGATTGAAATTGAATATTTTGACAGTACGTTATGCTAGAAACCTCAAATACAACTATCCGCCATGCCTACCGGAAATTTTTCTTAACCAATCTCACCATCTTTTCCATTCAAAAAAGAAACTTTTCACCTCTCATTCTATGCATCCACAGGGAAAGAACAAAACAACTCTTCCCTTCTAGTTCTTTAACTCTTACAACATTTTTTTACTTCCTCAGGAATTATATTTAACAAAACCTTAAAATCACTTTTCTACTTATATTCCAAAAGAGTAACTTTTAAGCTAAACCAAACATTCCAACGTGAACA